GGTGGCTAGTTGGTGTTCATGTATCCTCATTGTCAGTTTTCTTCCAGTTTGGCCTACGTAATGTTTCTCACAGTCCTTGCATGGTATTTTGCACAAACCAAACAGACATGCCAGGGAATCCCAACTGGAACTCCATCAACAAACACATTGAACTGGATATACAAACCACTGAAAAAAGAACCAGAAGTGATGCCAACCACCCCAGCGAAATGAGCCATGTAGACAACAAGTGGGCCAGAACACTGATGCTTCACCAGAGGTGCACTGATGATGCTACCTAGCACGGTGACGAAATGTCTGCAACCAAACACACCAGCTCAGCAAGCAAGTTTACAACCTCATCCACAACCCAAGCTAAACATCTGCTCAAAAACTTTAAATCAATACCATAGTCTGCGTGCAGAGTTGTGTCTGCATGTTCGGTATATCACCAGCTTCAAAAAGCCAATGTCAGAATGAAGCACATTCAATCTGTCACAAACAGGCACGCACTCACTCTCATACAGTGATGCATACTTGCTTGCTTATATGGGGAACACACCATACTCATTTACTTCCTTCTCCTTTTGAATAATCCTTTTAGTGCACATCTTATTTTACCTAAGCAAAAAATTATGTTCAGCAAAAGGAGGGTTATTGTTAGTTGAATGTAAATCTTAATATTTTCCTTTGGGTGATAGTTGGGGCAGTGGATAATATTGTCAGGAACTGATCATCTCCAACCGCTGAGAGAAGAACACAAGTATCAATAGAAAGGAAAGCCTGATATTAAATTTTATAAAGCAAATTGTGTAACTGCTTACCTGGTGCTTTTCAGATCCACCTTTTCTTTGAAGGGCTCATTCACATTGTAACAATAGCATTAGCATGAAGCCATTCAATTTTGAGGTAATACTGCAGGTAAAAACAGTCTATTTCTCGTGTAGTCTGACATTGGAATGAAATGGCATGAATGACTCTTAAGGCAGCAGTAACGTCCCACCATTTCAGAATCAGTTTAAAGCTCAGATGGCAAACACTGTTCACAAGTTGTGTTTTGTTTTATTCATTCATGAGATGTGTATGTATCTGGCTAGGCCAGTATTTATTGCCCACCCCTAACTAACCTTGAATGTTGGTGATGAGTCACCTTCCTGAACCATTACAGTTTGTGGTGTGAAATGTAGGTGCGAAACAATTTTGAATTTGCACCAACTTGGAGATACTGTCAGACTTCCAATAGAAATCAAGATTTATTTAGCTCAAGGTGTAGTTGAATCACCAAATGTGAAGGAAGAGGCAGTGCAATTGTTGACCTTTACTTTTAAACATTGAAATATTGACAGATAAGAATCATTACTGAATTTACAAATGGCAAAGTAAAGTTTTTTTTTACTGCAAACTAAAATCTAAGAGAAAAAACGAAAGTTCCTGCGAAAATTTTAAAACCCTGATGATTTTTGGAAAATGGGGAAGTGAGATTGTGTTGCCTGCAGTTACAGTGCCATCCTGTGCCATGATCAAATGTAACATGAAGTGAAGTTCCATGGCAACCATGCTTCCAATAGGGTCTTCCTAATGAAGCATTCTACGCAAACATTACTTCTTGAAAATTCAATTGCTTGAGGTAGATCTTTAGGCTTACTGTCTACTAATGCTTCATCCCAAATTGTTTTCTCCAACAGGTTTTGCAGTGATGGTTTGCCATTGCCGTTCTCTCTGGGCATGGTGAGGAGGCAGATCAAAAGTTTACCTCAACTGGATGGGAATTGAACCTATGCCTTTGTTATTTTGAGTCACATACAAACCATCTAGCTAACTGGCCTTTTTAATTTTGCAATAGCTGCACGGTGTACTTCCCTTGCAAGTGGAGACAATTTACGTCTAATTCAAAAAAAAGGATATTTATTGAGGACTCTTATGGTGCAGTGGCAGCATCAATTCCTCTAAGCTAGGAAGGCTGGATCCAAGTCCCATCTCCTGCCGAGGTGTGCAATAATATCTCTGAACAAGTTGATTAGAAAGCATCTAAGGTGCTAACTGTGGGAAGGCAAAAATAAACAATATAAAAGATATTTATGGAGAGTAATGCATGCAATTTTGGTCTCCCTCCCTAGCTAAAACTAGAAAGGGTTCAGAAAAGATTTACGAGGATGTTCTCATGTTTGGAGGATTTGAGCTATAAGGAGAGGCTGAATAGACTGAAGCGATTTTCCTTGGAGAGTTGGAGGCTGAGTGGGGATCTCTATAGAGGTTTATAAAATCATGGGGGGCATGGATAGGGTAAATAGGCAAAAAGGGACCTAGGGCCAACTTTTTCATTGCAGAGGGTAGTGTGTATATGGAATGTGCTGCCAGAGGAAGAAGTGGAGGCTGGTATAATTACAACATTTAAAAGGCATCTGGATGGTTATATAAATAGGAAGGATTGAGAGAGAAATGGGCCAAATACTGGCAAATGGGACTAGATTTATATAGGATATCTGGTCGGCAAGGACAAGTTGGACTGAAGCGTTTGTTTCTGTGCTGTACAGCTTTATGAATCTATGACTTTGAGTTCTTGTGGTGTCCCTATTTTCGATCCAGAAGGCCTCGGTTCAAGCTCCACCTGCTCTAGAGGTGTGTAATAACATCTCTGCACAGATTGATTAGAAAACATATTTTAAATATGTTTTAAGTACATTTATTGAGGGCTTTTATGGTGCAGTGGTAGTGATCCTATCTCCGAGTCAGAAGGCCTGTGTTCATGTCACACCTACTCCAGACATGTGTCATAATGGGTTTGAACTGATTGATTTAAAAACATTTGAGCTTCCATCTTAAGTCCCACTTCTACTATTCAGATTTTTCTGAGCGCAGTCAGCTGTCATGCCTGGAGAGGCCCTGGTCCTGAAGAACCTTTATTCTTGTTTCCTTTCGAACAAGGAACTCCTATTCAAATTAGAATTCAGTAAGTGCAAAAATCTTGCAAAGAATGCCACTGTTCAGCAATTTGCACCAAACCATTTAAATGCCTCCAGCTACCTAAGAAAAAATGAAGGAAAGCACCGGCAACCTTCTCAACAAAATGAACAAGAAATGCAAACTTCAACAAAAGACTGAACCAACAAATACGTTACCTTACTCCAGGAGCCAGTCTCAGAATCCTGATGTAAAAAGAGGCAAACTATAGAATCCCAACAGTATGCAAAGATGCCCTTTGGCCCATCGAGTTTGTACTGAATCTCCAGATAACATCACACCCAATCCCCCCCTACCCGTAACTCCACGTTTCCCACGGGTAATCCACCTACTTTGCACATCTTTGGACCGTGGGTTGAAAGGGTAGAGTCGAACCGGAGTTCCTGGTGCTGTGAGACAGTAGTGCTAACCACTGTGCCTATTGGCAGCTATTGAGCTAACAAGGCGAGAGCGGGCTTTGCTAAACAGGTTCAGGACAAGCCCCTGCGCTACCAACCTCCACCACTAGGGCCTCAGTGCAAACCCTTTGTGCACTTGTGGAGATACAAACAATGCTGTACAGACTCAGAAGACACTCGCTACAGATTAAATGGCTGACTAATCGCCTTAAATTCGGCAAACGACGCTTTTGCTTGGCTTTGGGAATTTGCATTTACTAAGTAAAACAGTTGAATACAGAGTGCTTTGATACCTTTCTGGTACAATGTTCCCATTCTGGTGCATTGTATCAATGTTGTAAAAATGTATGTTTATGTTGACTTAGTTTTAAGTATTCCACAATGTAACGTATGAAGTACGTTTGCAGCCATCTTCACAAATTCATTACTGATTAGCCCTTCATATAAATAGTTACCAACCAACTTAGCAGAGACATTGAAATACTAGGTTCACGACAACCCAAGACTTCCAGCAATCCAGTCTCACCAACACGATGAGAATGTAGGCAGTCAGACATTTACAAAAGCAGCGCTCAAAGACTGTTGTAGTAGCTGTCAATACGCGTGCACTCTTTCAGAAGGCCTATTACTAGCCCCATGACTGTTTCTAAAAGGAGAAACCCAGACTAGGATATTATTAATATGTATGCTGCCAAACTATCCCTTAGCGCAAGCAATTCTACTTACACAATCTGCCAGTTTGGAAAGACGTCATCTCTTACAAAGTTGTAATGGCACTGAGTAGTACTTTTTTAAACAAAATACACTGCGTTGTAATTTACCAGACCCTAGATACCATTTGAATCTTTTGTTAGTGGAATAGGAGGAAGGGTAGAGCACAGAGTACTTTACACGTATTATCAGCATTCAGCAAATTACATGGTAATTACGGAGCCTGTAAGGATCTCACGACATCTGCTCTGAACGTTTAATAGAACTGCGATTTAAAAGCTCAGACGGAGAGATTTGAATGCAGGTTTGGTGGGGTGGGAGGCGGGGTAGGTGATAGAGTTGTCCCACAATTCACAATGTGTTTCTGTTTATTTAGATGCCGCAAGACTGTGCTTAACGTTGACGGAAAGGTTTCAGGCAGAAAGTCGGATAGTGAAAATAAGCGCAGCCATTTTGGAAGTTAAGCGTTATTATTGGTTTTTTAAGATGTGAAAAGGAGGGAAATTTAAACGAATGCCTGCTGCGGTGAAGTGTAACCAGCTGTGTTCTGTGGGGGGTCATGCGGTAAAAGTTAAACATGTCTCACGTGCTTTCAGTTGCTCCCTTGAGGCATGACCCGGCTATACTGCTTACAGCACAGAGAAAACACCAAACCAGCAATAACGAGCACTTGTTTTCGTCCAGATATTGTGGAGAGCAGTTTTTTTTAAAAGATTGAAGACCACTTTGTAATCCGGAGTCATGTACGTTTCGTTTTAGAAAGCTGTGAGGTTAAGAAGGCTTAAATTGAACAGTGTAGGATTTCAGTGTATCTGACCCTCACTTTCCAAATGTTGCACTTTTCTGATGGAAAGATGCGGTTCCTACTTTGTGAACTTCGGATTAACATGAGAAAGTTAATTTACCGATAGAATGGAATAAATTTTTCAAGTTACAATGTCAACCACTCACCGGATCATCATCTTCACATTGCAATCCTTAATATCGAATACACGAATCGTTAGCGTGTAAAGTGTGATCAAGCTGTGGCATAGATCAATACATTCAGTACAACACCATGCACACGTGCTCCATTTATCAGCTATTTTTAGTTTTTTTTTCCTTGCTGTTGTATTGCCCTGTCTTCGCAATTGCTTTCATAACATGGTAGTCTCTAACACAGGCATGTTTCTTCAAATCATTTTAAAAAAACTCTCGTTAAAGATGAAACGCATACAAACGTGTGATAAGCTTTATTTCCTCAGTTAAATATATTGATAATTCTTAGTTAAACACAAGTAATATTGCATTGTCTCGTTTGCGTTGAATCGTGTATGATCCTATTACCCAGCGCTGCACGTTGTCTGTTAAAATGGATTACGTGAACGTAAATTAATGAATTGATCATTGTATTTAATCTGATGAAGGCATCCGTTGCTATCTA